CATCTAGATAGTTCAGAAATAACAGTGAGAGGTAAAACTAAATATATCTTACAGTTCTCATTTAAATCTCTATATCCTTACAGTTTTTATACAGACATTCAGGCAGGAAATAAGGGTCACTGTGTACAATTGTCAGTGAAACAAAGTCAGCATGGCAGCAAAAATTTTAAACCAAAGTTCAATGTGTACCGTAGTGACTACACTACACTGAAAACGAGAGGCTGTGGCCCTACCACAGACATATTTCCTGTCATGCCGCAGATGGCCCTATTTTCCTGTGATGTGTGTGCAAACTGTGAGAGTGTTGCAGTAACTTGATGGCCACTTATACACTTGTGATCTGACCTAAGTGTTGGTTTGATAGAAATAATACAAGAAGCATGTTGTCAATAATGAAATAAATAGTTTTTTAAGGAAGTGTTATGTGTATTTTTATGAAAGCCTTAGCTACTAATGTCCAGGTCCTCATTATTCAGTGGTATAATAACCTGAGGAGGAGCTTATATTAAATGGCTATACATAAGGTGTGATACTGTATCTTTTCATATATTAGACAGAAATTATATTTAATAATGAAAACAGAATTAAAGAGCTTCATATTTTTCAACTGGTATCATATCTCTGAGAGTGTGAATAAAGTGCATGAAGAGATAAAATTAGAAATAAGGAAGAAACAGTTTTTTTTCAGTGGCTATGTGAACTTTCTTTGGGGGAAGGTGAGACGCCTGAGCTTGTTTGATTAATTAAAGGCCTCTCATGGCCATGAGTGGCCTGACTAATCAGGAGTAGGTATTAACTTAAATCAAGTCCCTCTAGACTTGACTGAACCCAAACACTCTGCATCCTTGTGTACTTTGTCCTTTCAATAGTTTGTCTTCATGTACAGGGCTGAGTACATCTTACTATTACCAACTAAAACCACCAAGTGAGGATGTTAAATTCTTCACCTTAGAAGACAACCTGCAGGAGAACAACAGATCAAATTAAAGAAAATGTTTTGCCACAGACTGTATTTACTGTAATGGAATGTGAAATCAGCACTTTCCACTCTGAATGCTGAAATGATAAGCAGGCTTTCACTACCAGTCACAAGACCGTTTTGTGTGTTTTGGCTGGGGAAGCCAGAGAAATAGTAAAGCTATTTTACTGTCTTTGGTATGAATGAAGAAAATATCGATCCGCTTAACCTTCTATATCAAAGGTTGAGGTGAAGTGAGGTCCCTGAAACCTTGCCCATGTGTGCTACTGAGGAAACTACAGCACAACAAAAAGCTTGTTGCATGAAAGCTAACCAGCCCAGACCTGTATTCATCTGCTGACATTCCCCTTCCACACTTTCAGAAACTAGCTGCAGGCTAAATGTATGCCTTTGCTAACGAAACTGTGTGAGGTTACAAGGTGGGTGAAGCTCTCCAGGATCTTTCCAATAAGGCATGCGCTAATGAATCATACTATTACCATACACTTGAAATGGCTATAAAGACACTAGGCAAGCTGCTTTAGGACTAAATAAATTCCAAGACAGACTGCATTACTGCTAGTTTATTATTTTTCTATTAGCTGACAACATCTGTTCTCTGTACTAGGTGTAATTTTTCTACATACTGTACAGTGCAATAAACCATTTCATTAAAAATTACATATGACTACATCTGACTTGACTTGACTGACTTGTAAAAAGTGTATGCAAGCTGCACAAAGGCAAGCCTACAGTTTGTGCAGAGGACTTGTTGACACCTTTCACATCTTTAGACTGGTAGACAGTGGAAGTAGGCGACTCATATCCTCTACTAAGTAAAAATACCAATGTTGCATTCCAGAAATAGTCCTTTACAAGTAAATATTCTTCACTCAAAAATGCACTTTAGTGAAAGTGCATAAGTATTTACAGTGAGGAACAGAAGTATTTGAACACCCTGCGATTTTGCAAGTTCTCCCACTTAGAAATCATGGAGGGGTCTGAAATTCACATTGTAGGTGCATTCCCACTCTGAGAGACAGAATTAAAAAAA